TTTAAACTTGTAGCGTGCAGCATTTAGGTTCTTGCCAAGTTGTCGGACCCTTTAAGAATCATGAAAACCAAGACAGACACACAAACTATGTCGCTCCCTTAAGCCCTGCGGCTACCAACATGTGAGTCATCTCTTATTCTTTCTGTCAGGGCGCATCAACAGACACGAGCATGTGTGGAGGCTCACATGCACGCTCACGTGTACATTCAGAAGAAACTCGCATTCCGATCTGTCCTTTGTGGGGATTCAGACTCCAGCAGAAAGGGGTTTCCAGTTCTGCTGAGGGTGATATCTGAACAACCTTCAAAGGACCACATCTCCTTTGATCTTTGGAGTGACAACAGACACACATGGACAAACACAAAGAGCCCATTACGTAAGTTCTACCATCTTATGCACATCCTTATCTTCCACACCCGAAATCAGCACAGGCTGCCACACAGAGGTTAGAGGCTTCTTGGCACATGCATTTACTGGTTTATCAGTGTGGGTGGAGCCCATGTGACACAGCCCGGGCCATCAGAGAGACGCTTAGTGTTTTATGGAATAAGGGGGAAACAAAGATTTCTTAAAAGAACAATTCAACTCAACTCTTGCACATGATGCCCCCATCAGCTCACCCCCGTTTCCATATGCTTAAATCAAGTGTCTTTACTAAAGAGCATTTTTTTTCTAAATATATTGTGAAACTGGATGGATGGATTCAATTGACACGATTTTAGATGTCTGGGCTTAAAAAAGTAAAGACAGATGCAACCGACCTTTCAATGAAAATTGAATGTGAATTAAAAGAAATCGATGTTGTTCCCATCTCTGTCTAAGATCAAACATTTTGCATCTGTGTGTGTTACCTGCTTCAGGTCCGTGGTGGCTGTCATCCAGCACCAGGTTGTTCATACATTTGAGCTCCCAGTCTTGGACCTCCGTGTTCCACAAGGCCGGGATCAACACGTTGTACTGGGCCCTAGCGGGAGGAAGTGTGAAAGAACAGCGTCATAAAAAAGGCAGGGCAACAAATTACTTGAAAAATTTAGTTTTTGTGGACATTACAAACTTATTTAAATGAGATATTACTAAACGCAGTCTGTCCAGACAAAAGAAAACTAAAAAACACACTACAGTTGTTGTACCATAATAGAGGCAAACTTGCAGAACTCTTACCATCCTTGTTCAAACCTCTTAAATACATTTAAAAGAAATTAATTAATTCACACTTGAGGAGGCAAAAGTCTTCCACAGCAATACTTCAGTGAGTGATATGCAAGCCCTGTATATTGTCAGCTGAGTAAGCTCAATTTTAAAACTGAAGAAGAGGAAAAAGGTTGAGGAGTTGTGCCAACAGACGCCACTGTCGTCCACAGACTGTCTCCCTGCAGGAGGAAGGGGCAGCCGGCCAAAACGCCCTCGTTTGTGTAGCACTCACAGCTCTCACACACCAAACTGACGAGGAGCCAGCGGCGATGAGAGGCCTCCTCCGGGGTCTCTCTGCCCTGGCTTTCTGATTAATCAAGTAACACCTAAACACAACGCAGAGACAACTAACTGGCCGTGTGGAGATACAAGACAAAGCGGAAGCTGCCTGTGGACATTTTAGAGAAAAAGAAAGGACCAAGATGACCATGTCAGTGTCATGTGCACTGTTTTTTTCTTGTAAAAGAGTAAAGATGGTGCATTTAAGTAAAAACACTGATGAACTATTAAGCTATTTCCTCTAATTTACTATTAAATTTCTACATTTTTAAGAGAAAATTTCAGTTTTTTTTTTTTATATCATAGACAGCATCTGCCAGGAAGGTGGGGATCACCAGGCTGAACTTCCTGTAATGGAGAGAATAGAATAAAAGTGAAAAAGTGTGTGTGTGTGTGTGTGTGTGTGTGTGTGTGTGTGTGTGTGTGTGTGTGTGTGTGTGTGTGTGTGTGTGTGTGTGTGTGGAGTTGTTGGCAGCACAGATGGGTAAGAGGTGGCTTAGATACGTGTACAAGAGACTTTTGTCTGGGGTTGCAATCACTAAAATACACCAACAAGCACGTCAAAGACGGTGAGATGCAGCTGATGTGTGACATTCTGGGTTTGGAAAAGCACATGAGGACACATGATGCAGAATCTACAACAGATTCTGAAATGCAGACCCACCACATGCTCTCTTTCCACATGTCTGCCCGACAAAAGAGATTTGGAGGTATACTAAATTACCCGTGAAGTTCAGGAGAATGAAATCACCTTGATAAAAACCCCAATCAGATATTTCACATTAGACTGGAAGGCCCATATTGGAATGTGCATCACGTACAAGAATGTGAAGGAGTGACTTTGGGACATATGTGAATAAGCAGGAGGGATGGAAGTTGAAAGAAAAAAGAATGAAACACTGAAAAGTAGAAATTAAAATAAGGAGAGGACCCTGAAGATAGTAAACTGTGAATTAGCAAAGATTAAAGTCAAATAGATGATTCCATGTGAAGTCTAAATCTATTCACGGAATTATGAATAGTTTATTTTTTGCATCTCAAAAGAAAAAATAAGAACATATAAAGCTAAATCATAAAAATCACGAATCATGGAATCGTTTAATTAAAGTAAGCTCAGTTTTGTATCAAGAAGTTCACTTCCCTACACTAAAAAGAGGAAGATCAATGGTTCTTGTATAAAACAAAACTTGCTCTATAGATTTAGATTAAAAGTGGGACAAAGGCGCAGCATTATCCAGCCGGTGACGTGTTTTGTCGGGTGTCATTGTTCAGCCCAAAGCTGCGGTGACAACTGATTGACGGCCCAGTGGACAGTCCCACGAGACGGTCGAGCCTCACAGCCAATCATTCATCAGGATGACCCGTGTGAATGCATGACAACACACATTTGTACCGGTCACAGACAGCAAAAGAGCAAAGCTCCTTAAAGAAAATTGAGCGGCTGAAGAACGCCGCTCTTCCCCTCCTTCATTTTTCTTCCTTTTGCTTTCTGACAACCCCAAACAACAATCAATGAACCATCTTACTTCGGCCGCTTCTCTCTACAACCCTCCATTCATTGCTTGCTCCCCCCACCCCCCATTTTCCCCCTCTTCCCCCTATCACTCACTTTCCCTCTTTCTTCAGCAGGATCTTCCCAGTGTAAGGAGAGACAGACGGCCTACTTAGTGTTGACTTCTGACCAGGCCTTCGGAGCTTTGCCAAGCGGGCAACAAGGACTTCTCAATGAGAGATGGCACGCTGCCTGCTGAGCTCCAACGGGAACAAAAATGTTTGCCAGTGCTGCTCTTGTTTGAAGAAGCAGAGGAGGTTTGATGGGAAACAAATCGTCTCTTTTGACGCAGAGAGCAAAGCCATCCATCTTCTAAAGTATTGATAATCAAAGCTAAAAAATGGTGTGATTTAAAGGT